ACCCAATTGCTTCCACCGGTCAGTGGTCCACCAAGTTCAAGATGTAGGGGTTGGACATTGTAACGATTATACACAAAAGGGTCCGACCAGTACTGATTTGATGCGGATGAGATCAAGGGGAGGGCAAGGGAGCTGGGCAGGATAAGCAACCCGTAGCTTCAACGGTGCCCCTCGCGCTTCAAAAACCGCTGTGGTGATCTAAAAACCGAACCGTTTCGGAACCCTTCGCGCACTGGTTCATTTTTGGTGGCGGGCCACAAAAACGAGCCACGAAATGGAGCATTAGCGCATCACAAAGACGCTCCGTCTTGGGCACCCTAGTAGCTTGTTTGTCTTGGGGTCCGAAAGGTCTGCAAAGTTAGTTCGGAAAGGGGAGTCACACAGTTCAGTGCTGTTTGTATCCTTAAAATGATTAAAGCACATTAAAGCACGACATATATAGCCCTTTAGAAGAGTTCCCAAAAAACCTCCCGGACCCTTGAACTTTGTCCTAGAGCATTGAAGCGTGAAGTGTTGAAAAATCGCAGCTATACTATACAGCCCTTGCACAAAACCCCAACCCTCCAAACACTGGAATGTCGCGGTTTTGACAGGCACCGCTGCTAGAACCAGTGTTTTCCCGCGGTTTGGACCAGATCTTGATGAACCGCTTGCTAAGCTGCTAAACCTGCGGACTAGTGGCGAAAGCCGCATGCACAGCAATGTGTGAAGGCCTGAATGTCCCAATTGCAGAGAGCCAAAAATGAGGAGGCCATCGCTACTAAGGTGGAGGCCATCGCCAGTAGTTTGGAGGCCATCGCTACTGTCGCTACTAGGGTGAGGCCATCGCTCTTAGATATGATATGCAGGTGTTATTGAAGAGCTGTTGATGTTAGTTGCTTCTTTTCTACAGCGCGGCCTTGACCCGGGCGATTGCAGAGGATTTGCACGTCAAAGGAATCGTGCTTCGGACAAAGGAGGAGGTCATACTGCTTCCAATCAATGATCATATGATCATATTGTAATTCTAAGGCCAAAGCCCGAGGGTTCTGCCCAGAAGCTCGCCATCTATCCAAACCTCAAACCAATCAACAGTGCTGAAACGCGGCACGTCTCTAGGTCCAAACTATATAAGTCAAAACCGCATCATGTTCATCAAAGAAACCAAAACGATTGATTGCTTGTGACATTCATCGGTCTCGTGCCCTTTGTCATGCCGACTTGTTTTCTACCAGCGGCGTCTAGCAAAGCCACTGCGGCGGATCTGGGACTGATCTGGGACCCCGGGCAGCCACGGTGCACCCACCGGACGCTTCCGGCACACCTTGTGGCGTTGTTTTACACTCCCGAAAACTCACGTGGACACTGAAAATGGCACCCTGAAACATGGTTTTCCTCTACAAACCAGTGAACTTCAAGGTGCACGTTAGCTTTCAGCGGGTACATCATCATAGGGAGACCTCCTCGACGAATGGGCTGAAAGGTCCAGTTTAATTCCTCGGGGGTGGAACTCGGGGGGTCCAAAAGAGCCAGAGAGTGGAAACACCACAAAGGGCATCGCTACTAGGAGCAAGGACGCTACTAGGGGCTCCTGGCCTTACTACTAGTAACAAGAAGCTACTAGGGGCTCCTGGCATCGCTACTAAGAGCAAGAGCTAGAGAGTGGAAACACCAGCGTTCAAGCTTCGCTGTGTTCTTTTTTCGGGACCTTTGCCCCATCAACGGCCTGTCGCGATAGAATGCCCGCTGCTTCGTGGGCTTCTTTCAGTTGACCATAAATCCACTGATGAATTCCTATTTGTTTGCAATATTTACACCCCGATCTACGATCAGCGAGGAAGGAAAAGGCCTCTTAGAACTTAGAATGGCTTCTGACCAACTCTATAGACTCTAGGAATTTCATCCGAACTGATGTCTCCTTTCCGCTTCGCCCATTTTTGCCCCCATGAACCTCATCGGGAGAGCCGTGCCCCAACCAAGCTAAGACGGAAATCTGCAAGCCTGAGATGTTCTAAACTTTTACGCAAGGCCCTACGAAATGTAAAGATCTTGAATTCCTTAAGGCAAGGCCTTTTCCGTGGCCCGGGCTTGCCCGGAATCGGCACCCACAGCATCCCAAACACACCTGCCCTGTGTGAACAAACGCGTGGTTGTGGCGTTGTGTTTTGCACTGTCGCCCCGCATCGCCCCGCACCTGCAGGGAGCGATCAACTCATCATCAGCTGGGCCTGGCAAGTGGTGCTCTTCTTGGAGCAAACAACAAACAGTTTACTCTCAGCGGGCAGGTGGTAAAGGGCTTCTGGAAGCTGCTCAACAAAGTCTTTATAAAGGGCTTCTTGAGGGTGACAACTTCAAGACATTCAAGGAGCTTTGCCACCCATTTTGGAAGTCTGTCTCAGAAATGATAGGACTCGACATGAAAATCGATTGACACGGGGCCATGTTTGTTTGAGACAACTGATTGGCGCGTGGCCATGTTTGAGATTTATTTTGGCACGTGGCCATGTTTGAGAAAATTGAATGGCACGTGGCTATGTTCGAAAAACATCACAAAGAAAATAGCTTAGCACATGGCCTGTTTGAGGAATTTGATCGGCAAGTGGCCATGTTCAAAAAGACTCATTGGCACGTGGCCAATTTTGACACACACCAAATGTCGGTGTCATCCCTGTGCTCTTGTTGCAGATGTTGGCCAACTCTCCGGCTAAGTGCTGCACCCAGACAGAGACGGCACTCCGCGTCCCGTCCGAGCCTCGGACGGAAGCTGGTACTGTGGCGAAAATCCCTAGCGGAAAGCGGAAACGTCGGTGCGCTTCAGAAGGTGTTGTCTTTGTAAAAATGTCATAATTACATAAATACAACTAACCATTCTAGGTCCTTGTAAGTCCTATGGGTCCTTCCACGGCCCTTGTGACGCTTATTCCATGTTCGGTGAAAAACTCAGAAGACAAAGATGCAAACACAACATCCTGTCGCTCGTTCCAAAGCTTGAAGGCCAATGTGTCCACATAACATGCAATGCATCACAAACACTCGTCTCTCTGTATTCTACGGTTCTTACATTGACATAATCTTGGAGAACAATGGTATTGGACCGACATTCTATGCCATTCTATTCTGGCGGTGTTTGGAAGACAAGTTGAACACAAGCACCCCCAATGCCCATCTGAGCGTCTGCCAAAACGTACTGTCAAGTACAGGACATGATTCAGCAAGGTTATCGCTTTTGAGGTGGCGTTTGCAGGTTTTAGCCACAATGTCAACATAGCTGATCATATCCAAAAACTGCAGAAATATGGCTTTTGAGGGGGGTTTATTGTGTTCGCAGGTTTTAGCCAAATTACTGAAAATCACGACCGCTCTTTACTAAATGAGTCATTGCACATTTTGGTGGTTGCTCATCTATGGTGAGTTGAAGTTGGTCAAACAACATCTGAGCTTGTGCCAATCGCTTTCGGAGGTCCATGAGTTCATCTGGCCGACCTCCAAACCGGGGCCCTCGGGGTCCCCTGCGAGCTGCCCACGACAGAGTGGCAAGTCATCGAAGTCTAGGACGAGTGCAGCGGTTTTTCCATCAGTTGTTGCAGCTCGACAGATCTACGGCCAGTTCACCTGGAAAAGTCCTTCTACCAAAACACACATTCAGGGTGCCAATTGGTGGCTACCGAGGTGTCCGTTAAACACCCCGGTTTCAGGGCTCCAAACACCACCCCTTGGGGTGTCTAGTAGCGATTTCCTCCAACCCAATAGCAATGGCCTCCAACCTACTAGAATCCCCACTAAAGCATACTAAAGCCATCCATTTACACGGGTCTTCGTCGTAGATCAGATCTATACCAAACTCCTGCCGCCAAATTCCAGTGAGATCGTCTGTTTACCCACTCTTGGCAAGCAGCGTGTGAATCACGACTTAAGCATTTCAGCCCAGAAGTGTCATTCACTTGGAGGATCGCTGTTCATCGCTTTGCACCAATAGGAGAAATCTGATGGAAAAGTTTAGAACCCCAGTCAAGCCCACCACCACCCTAACATAGAGTGCGATAAAGAAAAACCGCCCCTCTGCACGGCCTACCCCTCTGCATCGCATACCCCGCCTGGTAGCAGTTGCACGGGTGGCACTGCAACGAAACTTCCAAAAATAGTGGCACGTCGCGTGGGCTGGGCCAAAATGCCGCGGACGGTGGACAGGTTAGGTCCTATTAGGTGCATGTCTTGGTCTTCTCAAGCCAGTTTAAGACTGACTGAAATGAGAATGGTGGATGGATTGAGATCCATCTAGGAATCGGTCTTTGAATACTTGTCCTCTAATTGTGGATATCATACAGCCGGAGACTGGCCGGGGCAAGTGCGGGCTTTCTGATTGCAAGCCCCTTCATCATTCGAGATGTTTCTGAAGGCTCCCTTGAGCCCTACAGATTCTGAATGTGGGAACCATTACCAATGGGACAGCTTCCCATCAAATTTCCGGCTCCACAGGCTGAAGAACAGCTTCACACTTTCCCAAGATGTGCTAGCCCAAACAGGACATGCCTTGTCGTGGACCTAAAGACTAAAAACAGCACTTCCGAAGACACCTGTCGTGTATGTTCCAAAAAGAACTGCTCAGAGGTCAGAGGTCCGGCGCAGTTCACGGTTTTGCGCCGTGGCTCCAACGCATTCGCCGCATGCGGCTCGCATTCGTCCGTCCATGTTCTTCAACCAGCTTCCGGAGTAGCGTCCTTGCTCCTAGTAGTGCTCCTAGTAGCTTCTTGCTCCTAGTAGTAAGGCCAGGAGCCCCTAGTAGGGTCCTTGCTCCTAGTAGCGATGCCCTTTGCTCCTAGTAGCTTCTTGCTCCTAGTAGTAAGGCCAGGAGCCCCTAGTAGGGTCCTTGCTCCTAGTAGCGATGCCCTTTGCTCCTAGTAGCGATGCCCTTTGCTCCTAGTAGCTTCTTGCTCGTAGTGATTTTCCGGTCAATCTCGGAAGTGCCTTGCGCGCCTTCCGATGTGCCTTGCGAATGGACCGACCGACAGCGCTCAGATCTCTCATTGAAATTGCCGCATCTGAGCCTCAGAGACCGGGAAAGCGGAGGGCCAGGCGGAGCAGCTGGAGTGGAGCCACTCAGGATACGAACAGGTGAGGCAATGAGAAAATCTGCAAATGAGCATAGAGCAAGAACACAAAAAGGCAACTCCTTGCGTGCCACGAAAAAACACCTGCTGGCAAATTGGTTTAACCTCAGCATCCATGCACCTCAACTTCACACACCCTTTAATACATTGGAAGGGACAGGAGTGAAATAGCCAAAGAGCTCTATATACAGCATATATAACTATATAATATGAACTCCCTGCAAGAGGGTTTTGCCCGAAGATATCGATCCAACAATCCCGGGTGCAGGATCTTGCAGCAAGATCTACAATTCGACGATATGACTCGACCCATCACTGGCCCATTACTGTTTGGTATGCAACAACAAGGTTGATGAGACTGAGAACACAATTGTGTTACTGGCCTTCTAAGACTATGCTCAAAAGGGTTGAGCTGGTTTCGTAGTGCGGATTCAGACTATTCAATCAATGGTGGGCAACCAGAAGCCTAGGGTTTGGTTGTTAATGATGGAACCGTGAAGCACACCTCTTCTTTCTGGAGTCTTTTTGGGTTTCATTTGGCTCGGTTTCCTTCGCCGAACAACACAGCCGTGCAAAGAAACTACACTGGAGGCACCTGACAGCAACGAAAGTGTCCACAAATAGCTACATCTTGTTGGTGTTGTGAAGTTTTTTTGTGCGGGGATATGTGCAATCTGCGTAGGTCATTGCATCACCATGGTACAGAGCCGGTGTGCACCTGCAAGCATCAAATCGGAGTTCCGAGGTAACCAACGGAGGTGGCGATGCTGCCATGCAGCGGAAACACGGCGGGCCGAGGACATCAGGGTGATGATGGAGACTGCCACCAAAGAAATGCAGTCGACCTCACATCGGCGCAGTTGAAACAAGAGTCCCTCTCTGCCCGCGCAGTCGAAACGGGCCGGCTCTTCTGGTTGTTAGACCTCGGAGTGTCTCTCACCAGTGGACCCGTTGTTTGACACTGTCCACTGCCAGTGTGAATCATCTGAGTCCTGTTTCCCCCAAAAATCCATCATCATGAGACTGATTCACTGGGCACTCAGCCCACCCAGTGGCCCAGCTCCACCCTTCCGAGTGGCGGAATCCACACCGTGCTGAAAGCACATCACCTTGGTACCGTGTGGAGTTTTGGTCCGAGAGCAAGGAAGCAATCCACCGCAGAACACGCAAGTTTCACCAAACTCCCTTCCATGCTGCAGAAAAGTAGTGGAAGAACGAATAGATAGATGAAGTAGGCTACCTGGGAACCATGAAGCCTGAAGCTAGTATGTGTGTATATAGAGTATACAGTATACAGTATTGGTCGCATTTTCGGTTGAACCCCAGATTATCTGACCGAGCAGCAGAAATCAGCAGGCTCAAAATGGCTCTGGAGGTCATGATCAAAGTGAACACTGCTGGCCCAAACCTTGAGATCACTGGAGGACTCAAGAGTTTCCCTGCTGTGTCAAACCAGTGAGCAGTGAGCACCTTTCACTTACATAAATCCAAGTACAGTAGATCATTGGCACCTCTGGCGATCTCTTGGTAGCTTATCAAACCACAGAGTTCCCAAGTAAACCTCTTGGTCAAAAAAAGCCATGTTTAAGAAAAGACTCACAAGAAAGAAATAGTAATAAATCTCATCCGCACTCAGGAGTACGCTGAGTTCCCTGCAGTCTCACGGTCAACACACAGGCCAACGAACCCACCGCAGACGTCAGAGCAAAGATCCTCATGCGAGTGCTCAATCCAAGTGAGTTCTGGCTCCTCTTCCGGTCAAAAGGAAATCCAACAGTGTTTCCTTGTCACACATATGAGGTATGCGGAACTTCCAGGCAGGAAAAGGGGGTGCAGTTTTGGGCAGAACTGCAACGCATGGTGCTTGTATTTGGTCCAGACCCCCAGCCTCACAGTACCACTGGAGGGCTACAAACATGCACTCCAACCAGTTGGAGTTGGAGGGGTGGTGCTTTTGTGCAACCCAGAAGCGACAGGAAGAGCAACACGCCAGGGGTTGCTATCACGAACCTCAATCGTGCCAAATGCAAGCCGGACAGCTATATATACATCAAATTCACCAAAGCTTGCGATCAAAAATTCGAGCACTACAACTACGGAGACCACTGAGTGGTCTCACAATCTACTCTACCCCCATGAAAGAATGAAACACAACCAAATCCTAGAAAAAGAACACTAACTGCACCGAAAAGAGGATCCCCACCTCCTTCGCTGAAAAACTATCCCAGCAAGAGACCCCAAACTGTGTGTGAGGTCTATAAGCAGAAAGTCTAGAGATCTACAGTAGACGCATTGGGGTCCAGAGAGGTGATGGTGGTGATGAAGGTGGGGATCGTGGTGACGGTGGCGGTGGTGGTGAGTGTGAGAGTGAGAGTGAGAGTGAGAATGAGTGTGAGAGTGAGAGTGAGAGTGAGAGTGAGAATGAGAGTGAGAGTGAGAGTGAGAGGGAGAGTGAGAGTGAGAGTGAGAGTGAGCGTGAGAGTGAGAGTGAGAGTGAGAAGAGTGAGCGTGAGTGTGAGAGTGAGAGTGAGAGTGAGTGCGAGTGAAGAGTGAGTGTGAGTGCGTGTGTGTGCCCCTTGTAGTCACAGGGATTCTTTTGAATTGTGAAGGAATGATGCGCACAAATCTTGAAGTGTTTCACGATGTTGCAGTGCAACCTTTGGAGTCACAATCCAGATGTTTGGTTTTGTGTTTGTTTGTTTGTTTTGTTTTGGCTGCTTTGTGTCTTGTGGGCCTCCTAACCTACAGCGCAGGCCTCCAACCTTGTTGCTATGGCCTCTTCCTATTTTTTGGTGTCCTTCTAGTAAGTAGTTTATATGCCGGTTGCCCTTGGGGCCGGCGCGTCCGCTCTGTTCGACTGGATGCATTCCTATTCAGTCTACAAAGTTGGGGTGGGCACAGGTGCTTGCTGCAAACGTGCTTGCGTAAACATGCTTGCTGTAAACTTGGTACTTTGGCCTCCAAACTTGGGCGATGGCCTCCAACTTCTAGCGACGGCCTCTACTGTAACTTTAACTTTACTTGCACTGTTTCCTTAGGTGTTTTTTCACTCAGGCTGGCGTGTGGCACCACTGTCCAGTCAGTACGCATATCAGTAAGTGTGCCTCTCCTAGTGAGAGCCCGGGATGAGCCCAGTCCCCGGCTTTGGTAACGTAGGTGTCCGGAGCGGACAGCAGGAGGCTTACGCCAAAGTTATTTGCCACGATTTGTCGGATTATTGAATTCCAAGTTGGCTCACCACAGCGGTCAAAGTACTTTTGAGGTTCGTTGCTCCTCCCCCTTCCCTCCCCCTTTCTTTCTTTGCTTCCTGCGGTTTTCCTGAATGGAATACTCAGGATCACCCCTCTCTTTCTTTGGTGAGTCCCTGGATGCTTGTTCGTAGCTGGGAACACCTGCCTTTTTTCCTTTTCTCTCCTCTCCCTTTCTCTCCCTCTCACTTTCTTTCTTTTTCTCCTCTCCTCACCTTCCTTCTTCCTTGGGTGTCCCTGGATGCTTGCGTCATAGCTGAATCCTTCTCCTCTCTTCTTGTGGTGTGTCCTTGGACGCTTGCGTCGTAGCTGGGAACACCTTCCTTTCTTCTCTTTCCCTTTTCTCTTCTCTCCCTACCCCTCCCTCCTGTCGGGACCTTAGAGTGGGACGCTACTAGGGGCTCCTGGCCTTCCTACGAGGTGCTCGGACGCTACTTTGACGCTACTAGGGGTTCTTGGCCTTACTACTACTCTGTCGGCGCCTTAAATATGCCTCCCCTCGAAAAGGCGTGTGCGCGCGCCCCTTGTAGTCACAGGGATTCTTTTGAATTGTCAAGGAATGACACGCGCAAATCTTGAAGTGTACCACGAGTGTGTGTTTGCTTGCTTGCTTGCTTGCTTGCTTGCTTGCTTGTTTGTTTGTTTGTTTGTTTTTGTTTGTTTGTTTGTTTGTTTGTTTTGTTTTGGCTGCTTTGTGTCTTGTGGGCCTCCTAGCCTACAGCGCAGGCCTCCAACCTTGTTGCTATGGCCTCTTCCTATTTTTTGGTGTCCTTCTAGTAGTTTATATGCCGGTTGCCCTTAGGGTCGGCGCGTCCGCTCTGTTCGACTGGATGCATTCCTATTCAGTCTGCAGAGTTGGGGTGGGCACAGGTGCTTGCTGCAAACGCGCTTGCGTAAACATGCTTGCTGTAACTCGGTACTTTGGCCTCCAAACTTGGCGATGGCCTCTACTTTAACTTTAACTTTACTTGCCCTGTTTTTTAACCGTGGACCCGTCGAACGGGACCCGTGGACCCGTCGAACGGGGGTTTGTCCATGTTCCCCGGCTTTGGTAACGTAGGTGTCCGGAGCGGGCAGCAGGAGGCTTACGCCAAAGTTATTTGCCACGATTTGTCGGATTATTGAATTCCAAGTTCGCTCATGCCTTTACGTGACCGCAGCGGTCAAAGCAGCCAGCCACTTTGGCAGGGCACAAGGTGACCACAGCGGTCAAAGTACTTTTGAGGTTCGTTGGAACCTGTGGAGAACTTAGCCCTCCCTCCTCCCCCTTCCCTCCCCCTTTCTTTCTTTGCTTCCTGGGGTTTTCCTGAATGGAATACTCAAGATCACCCCTCTCTTTCTTTGGTGAGTCCCTGGACGCTTGTTCGTAGCTGGGAACACCTGCCTTTTTCCTTTTCTCTCCTCTCCCTTTCTCCCTCCCTCTTTCTTTCTTTTTCTCCTCTCCTCACCTTCCTTCTTCCTTGGGTGTCCCTGGATGCTTTCGTCATAGCTGGGAATCCTTCTCCTCTCTTCTTTTGGTGCGTCCAAGGCTTGCATCGTAGCTGGGAACGCCTTCCTTTCTTCTCTTTCCCTTTTCTCTTCTCTCCCTACCCCTCCCTCCTGTCGGGACCTTAGAGTGGGATGCTACTAGGGGCTCCTGGCCTTCCTACTAGGTGCTCGGACGCTACTTTGACGCTACTAGGGGTTCTTGGCCTTACCACAACTCTGTCGGCACCTTAAATATGCCTCCCCTCGAAAAGGCGTGTGTGTGTGTGCCCCTTGTAGTCACAGGGATTCTTTTGAATTGTGAAGGAATGACACGCACAAATCTTGAAGTGCACCACGATGTTGCAGTGTAAAGGAATGACACGCACAAATCTTGAAGTGTTTCACGATGTTGCAGTGCAACCCTTGCAGTGCAACTGTTGGAGTCACAATCCAGATTGTTGGTTTTGCGTTTGTTTGTTTGTTTTGTTTTGGCTGCTCTGTGTCTTGTGGGCCTCCTAACCTACAGCGCAGGCCTCCAACCTTGTTGCTATGGCCTCTTCCTATTTTTTGGCGTCCTTCTAGTAGTTTATATGCCGGTTGCCCTTAGGGCCGGCGCGTCCGCTCTGTTCGACTGGATGCATTCCTATTCAGTCTGCAGAGTTGGGGTGGGCGCAGGTGCTTGCTGCAAACGTGCTTGCGTAAACATGCTTGCTGTAAACTTGGGACTTTGGCCTCCAAACTTGGGCGATGGCCTCCAACTTCTAGCGATGGCCTCTACTTTAGCTTTAACTTTACTTGCCCTGTTTCCTTAGATGTTTTTTCACTCAGGCTGGCGTGCGGCACCGCTGTCCAGTCAGTACGCATATCCATGAGTGAGTGAGTGAGTGAGTGAGTGGGTGGGTGGGTGGGTGGGTGGGTGGGTGAGTGAGTTTTGTGAGTGAGTTTTGTGAGTGAGTTTTGTGAGTGAGTTTTGTGAGTGAGTTTTGTGAGTGAGTTTTG